ATATTAGTCCAACTCTCTGCGAAGTCTTCGAAAATTGCATCTCGTACGGCACCTATTCAAAACATAAATGGCACAATACACCTTTTCTATCCAAAAAGACTTGGGAATACTTTTGAAGTGCACTAGAGCTCACCATGTCGATTACAATTTTATTATTTCTTTCTACCACATCATTCTGTTGAATTTTATATCTATCTCTCAATTAGGTTTTATACCATTTTGCACCAAATAATCATCGCAACAAGATATTTAATTTCTCAAAATTTTAATAAAATAGCCACTCTAATTCTCTATATAATACTTGAACTATATGAATACATCACATGCATCAAATTTATTTCTCAAGAAATTCACCCAAGTCTTCCTACTAAAATCATCAATAAATGTAACAAAATACTTACTATCATCATTAGAAGGGGCTTCAACTATGCATAAATATGAATTGATCAACTCTAGTGGTCGATTAACCCTCTAACCCATGCCTTTTGAAAAAAGATCCCTGTGCTTCTTTTTCAAAATACATGACTCATATTTCTTGTTAGGAAAATCAACATAAAGCAGCCTAAGAATCAATTTTTTTTCTTGCAAGAAATTTCAAACTTCTAAAATTTAGATGCCCAAACCGCATATGCCATATCCAAGAATCATCACAGGTCATAGAACTAAAGTAAGGTAAATTACTACAATTAAGAGAAAGAGGCCACAAACGAATACGTTCATTTATATCTTGGCAATTAATCCCAATTCTTCGTCACTAATTGTGCCAACACCATATTTAAAATATAGATCATAACCTTTTTTCAAATAGTTGCCCCAAACTCAATAAATTGTTATACAAACTTGGTAGATATAAGACATTAGGTACATAATTCAAAGACTCATCTTACAAGATAATTCTAATCTTTCCCTTTCCTAGGATAGCCATCTTTTCATTATTTCCCAATTTCACAAATATACGAAGAGACTCATCCATATCAAAAAACATCTCCTTTTTACCATGCATATGATTACTATAACTAGAATCAATAAATCAGTCATTCTTCTTAGATTCTTCAGTTGCAGAACTAGAGAACAACAAAGTCTTCTAGACTAGTAATATCTATCATCACTATTTTCAGCCACTTTAGCGCGCACCATTTTGTTAGACTAATATCCATTCTGGTAATGACCAATTTTACCACAAGTATAATATTGAATATTAGATCTATTATCTCTTTCAAAATTATTTCTTTGATTCTACGACTGATTATTTTGCTAGCCCCCATTAGAATTATTTCTAGACTGGTAAGAATAATTATTTCTACCATGACCACAGAAGTTACCTCTATCTCCTCGTCCTTTGCCTCCAAAGTTCTGGCCCTTTTGATAGTATTTGTGCTATTCATTTCATCTCTTCCTTTTGGTCGATCTACCTTGGCTTGTAACATCCTCCACTGTATCTGATGGCTATTGATTCAAGAACATTTCATACATCAACAATTCACCTTGCAATTCGGCAAGTGACAATGTATTAAGATTTTTTATGGCTTCAAGGACCATTTTCTAGGTGTGAAATTTGGTAGTTAGAGATCACAAGACTTTTCAATAACTCTACCTTCTTCCAAATTCTCACTATTGGAATCCATATCATTGACAATTCATTTAATTCTACCAGCAAAATCTTTAACTAACTCCGAGGTTTCATTTGGACCAATCCAAACTGTCTCCTGAGTTCCTACAATCTTTTTTTCTTATAGTAGCAGCACTCCGATTAGAGTTCACTAAATTTTTTGAGTACATGCATTTGGAGTTTGGTACTGAAATAGTAAAACGCTTTGTAATCCAACTGTTTATTACTCTCCAATTCTTTAATTGCATTACTTGATGATTCCATGCCTTCTCTTGGATAATATTCCAAATTCCAATTGCACTAAAAAAATTCTCTATCATCATCCTCCATTTTTTGGAATTATTTGTACTATCAAAGATAAAAACAGTACAATCTTACAAATAATACAGATCCATATTTCAATATCTCAAGATCTCACATAAAGCTCTGATACCACTTTGTAGGAAATTTATCCACAAGAAAACAACAAACAAATCTCACGAACGCTAATAAGGAAACCGAAAGTTTCCTTAATAACTAACCATGAGATTTGCTATTAAGGAAACTAGACTTGCATCTCACGGCCCAGCGGTTCAACCGGTCAACCCGGTGAACCGGCCATGAAACCGGGCCGGGTTCTTAATAGGATCATTTCTGCATTCAAACCGTTGACTTTTCAACGGACCGGCGGTTCAACCGGTAAACCCGGTGAACCGATCGGTTTTATGAGGAACCCGGTCCACATGGAAAAATTTTGTGAAGATGCTAAATTTTGTGGAGATTCGAATGCCCAACCTCAAGCATATGAGTTGAATACAATTCCACTGGACCAACCACATACTTGTTTGTTATTTTGTCATTCTTATATTATATATTATACTTTTATTCTTATTTTATTTCTCCAAAAGAAAATTTATTTAGAATCTTTTAATAACATTTTATTATTCCCCAAACTCTATAAATTATGAAATTGACTTAAAAAATAACATATTACACAATTTCTTTTAAAGGACAATATTAGTCTTAATAAACTTTTGCACTTAAAATTCATAAATAAACTAGATAATTATACTTAGATAAAATTTTATACTTGAAATTTGGTAGATTACTAATTAAATTTAGGTTGTTAATTCTTATAAGAATTAATGATTTTATAATAAATTAGACTAATTGAATATTTATTATGCCATAAAAAATTATGAGACATAATAATTAAATATATTTAGTGACCCACCGGTTGGACCACTCACCCACCGGTTGGACCCGTTGACCCATCACTTTCACCGGATTCCTTCCCGGGCCGGGTGTAATAACTATGCTTCTGTCAGAAACCTCGGTTAGAGCTTGCGAGATTGTAGGGAAAGAGAGGAAGCAGGGGAGGTTGAATTGGGGAAAAAGAATGAAAGAGAGAGAGGAGAGAGTAGACAGAAATAAGAGAGAGGAAGTATGAATCTGTCTTTCTTTTCATAACCTTGAGTCTGTTACAAGTTTACTATTTATAGCCTGGCTAATCAGAAGGAAATTAATGCAACGTGCTAAAAGAATGAAGTAACCTAACTAACTACCTATATTATTCCACGACACCGTTTTGACATACTGGCTTATTTCTGAAACGCACGCTTTAATGAATAAAACGACACAATTCATCAAGGTCCTTGACAATCCCCTCCTCATAAAGAAAGCTTGACCTCAAGCTTTAAAATTTGGAAACATTTTATCAATGAAACTCTTATCCTCCCAGGAAGCTTCGGAGTCTGGTAGATGATTCCATTTGATCAGATATTGAATAACAGGTTGAGAATCCCTCATGATAACCCTGCGCTTCATCACTTGCTCAGGTTGTAGCAAACACTGATTTGATGCACCCAATTCGGGCAAGACTGGTTCAGGGGTCTGTGTGTCACCAATTTTCTTCTTAAGAAGCGAAACATGAAATACCAGATGAACTCTAGCTCCAGGTGGTAATTGTAACCTATAAGCTACTGTCCCCACCTTCGCAATGATCTGAAAAGGTCCATAGAACTTGGCGGACAGCTTTAGGCTTCTTCTAATAGTTACAGTTTGCTGCCTATAAGGCTGCAACTTCAGGAAAACCCACTCTCCCACTTGCAAAGTCCTTTCTGTTCGATGTTTGTCCGCGTAATGCTTCATCCGATTCTGAGCTTTGGCCAAATTTTCCTTGATCTGTGACATGATTTGTAGTCGTTCTTGCACCATATCAGCCGCAACAGATATCATACTGTCATGGAAAGACCCAAGGGAATATGAGCTGGCTTGTACCCGTATAATGCCTCAAAGGGAGAGAGTTGTAAATTGGTATGGAAGTTGGTGTAGTACCAGAACTCCGTTGTAGACAACCACACACTCCACTGCGTTGGATGCTCACTGCACATACACCTTAGATACGTTTCCAGGCATTGGTTAACTCTCTCACTTTGCCCATCCGATTGTGCGTGATAGGAAGAGCTATAATGAAGTTTAGTTCCCAACAACTTGAACATTTCCTGCCAGAATCCACCGAGAAACACCCTATCTCAGTCGGACACGATAGCTTCAAGTAAACCATGAAGTTTATACACATTATCAAGAAAAACCATAGCTACCTGTTGAGCTGAATAAGGGTGAGAAAGTCGCATAAAATGGCTGAACTTAGTGAAACGATCTACTACCACGAATATAGTATCAAACCCCTGAGATAAGGGTAACTGTTCGATAAAATCCATAGTTATTTGGGACCATGCGTGCTGAGGAACTAGTAATGGTTGTAGCAACCCGGGGTAAGAAACGTTTTCGTGCTTACTCCGTTGATACACGTCGCAAGATCTCACAAACTGTATGACATCTTTCTTGATTCCCGGCCAGTAAAACAGCGCTTGTACCCTTTGTAGGCACCCTCTTTGGCCGGAGTGTCCCCCAATAGCAGATGCATGCAGTGCCTTGATAAGGTTATCCCTGATTCCTTTAGAAATTCCCACATACAATTCACCCTTGAACTTCTGCAGTCCCTTGTCCAATTGATAGTCCCAGTTGGAGGTAGGCTCCAACAACAGTTGTGGAATAAGTTCTTGAGCCATAGGGTCCCCTACGTAGCTGTCTAATAGTTCTTGTACCCAGGCTGGCTGTGCTGACGAGATAGCATTCAAAGTACCATGCTTGGTTGGACACACCTCACTGTGATAAGCTATTGTTCGTCTAGATAATGCGTCAGTCACTCCATTGTCAATGCCTTTCTTATATTGGATCTCGTAGTCCAAGCCTAACAACTTGGTCAGCCATTTGTGTTGCAATGGATGTGTGAGTCTCTGCTCTAGTAAGTATTTGAGAGCCTGATGATCCGTCCGATGATAAAGCGATGGCCAACCAGATAATGTTTCCATTTGGTGACAGCCAAGACCAACGCAAAGAGCTCTTTCTAGTAAACCGACATTCCCAGATTCTGGTTTGCTAGAGCTTTGCTGAGGAATGCTATGGGGTGTCCCTGTCGCATCAAAACTGCACCAGTAGCCATTCCACAGGCATCCGTCTCGATGATGAAAGGAATCTCAAAGTTGGGCATGCTCAGTACTGGGGCTGTTGTCATGGCTTTCTTTAAGTCTTCAAAAGCTATATGAGCTTCAAAATTCCATGCAAACCCGTCCTTCTTCAACAATTGTGTCAATGGTTTACTGATTACCCCATATCCTTTAATGAATCTTCTATAATACCCCGTTAATCCCAAAAATCCTCGCAATTCCTTCACTGTCTCGGGTGAGAGCCAGGAGAGTATGCATTCTATCTTAGACTTGTCCATGCTCACGCCTTTTTCAGATATCACATGTCCCAAATACTCCACAGAAGTTTGGGCAAAAGAGCATTTAGATCTTTTACAGAATAGTTGGTTATCTGCCAGGACCCCAAGGACGATTTGGGGATATTGCATGTGTAACTCAAGGGTGGGGCCGTAGACTAGGATATCGTCAAAAAAAACTAACATGAATTTCCTCATATACGGCTGAAAAATTCGATTCATCAAGGCCTGGACGATAGCTGGAGTGTTCGTCAATCCAAATGGCATGACTAGAAATTCGAAGTGACCATGATGCGTCTGGAAGGCAATTTTGTGCGTGTCCATTGCCTTAACTCGTACTTGGTGGTAACCAGCTCTAAGGTCCAGTTTAGACATGTATTTCGTCCCATGTAACTCGTTCAGAAGTTCATCTATATTCGGTATGGGAAATCTGTCTTTAATAGTCAGCTCGTTTAGCTTCCGGTAGTCCACACATAACCTCCACGAGTTGTCTTTCTTTTTGACCAGCAAAACAGGAGATGCAAAGGGACTACTACTGTGAGTAACAATACCACTAGAGAGCATCTCAGCCACTTGCATTTCGATTTCGGTTTTGTGTGCATGAGGGTACCTGTAAGGCTTTAGTTTGAAGGGTTCCGCTCCAGGTTTGAGAGTGATTTGGTGATCCAGCTCTCTCTCAGGACGAATACTTGCGAGTACTGTTGCAGTACCGCTTCTACCTGCTCAGGAATATCTCTTTGCAAGTACTCCTGAGATTCAGCTTGTAAGGCAGCACAATGCCTATGCTTCTCTTGTATAAAAGACCTGAGGTCCTTACCTCTTACCAGCTCCATCAGAGGTTGGTTGATAAGCCCTTGTAAGTGGAGCAAACTTCCACTACTGCTGAGAGCAATGTTGAGACTATGAAAATCAAACGTAATGGGACTGAATTGGTACATCCAATCTACCCCTAAAATGATGTCCCAATTCCCTAAATCCATCACCTTCAGGTCAAATTGGAATTGATAGTCCTGTATTAGCCACTTGACACTTGGACAAACTGCACCACTAGTAATATCCGTACCATCTGCTAAGGTGACTGTGAAAGGAGTCACCTCTTGAGAAGGTAAGTACAAGGATCTAGCAAGACCGAAGTGAATGAAGCTGTTCGAAGCTCCAGTGTCCACCAAGATTTTTATTGGTAGTCCTCCCATATTACCTAACAGAATGATAGACTTGCTGCTCATGGCTCCATTTAAGGCATTCAGTGAAACCTCAGCCAGTTTTCCTACTCGCCCCGTACTCTCATCTTGCTCCCCTTCAGCATCTTCAAAATCTGTGTCATTACCTTCTTCCAGGTCAATGCTGTTCAAGTTCCCTGGCTTACAACAATGTCCTGCCCCAAACTTGTCACCACACCTGTAGCACAGGCCATGTTTGCGTCTATATTGTATTTCCTCGGCAAAAATCTTATTGAACTCCCTAGCCACGTTTTCCTACTTGTTAGTGTTCGGAGTGATTGCAGGAATACGATAGGAACTGGAGGACTTCTGATTATTCTATTGATTCTTGAACAATCCAAATCTGAACTCTAACACACTTTTACTAGAATTTCGTGATTGCTTTGCTTGCACTTCTAAGGAGCACTCTTGTAGTTCAGCTACTTCGAAGGCCTTCGCTAGTGTTTGTGGCTTGAACATCTTCACCATCGGTCTAATTTCCTCTTTCAAGCCACTGACAAAACCGGAGACAAAATTTAGCTCATCTAGTTTAGGATTTCTAAGTAGCATGAGAGTTTTAAGCTCCTCAAATTTCTCCTCATATTCTTCTACTATCCTCTTTTGTTGCAGTTTATTGAATTCCTCCACCACATCTCGAGAAGCCTTACTGGCAAATCTTTCACACAGCAGGTCACTAAACTCTGTCCAGGAGAGGTTAGGCCTTTCGAGTTTCACTCCCTAAAACCAGTTGTCGTCCTTCCCCTCTAGAAACATTTCTATCATTTCTACCTTTTGATTATCAGGAATCTGGTAGTTCAAGAAATATTTCTGACATTTCCTAATCCACTCCCTAGGGTTACCAGTAGCAAACATAGGCATTTCCAGTTTAGGCAAGATAGGATTGAAATACTTACTCCTGCCCTCTGGTGGAGCGAGTTGAGCACCATTCTGATGTCTGAGTTTCGTATGTGGAAGTGGAGTTGGTAGTAGCGGTTCTGAGATCCTCGATTCCGGCTCTGAACAGCCTTTCTCCTTCATCATCGTGTTCAGTAGGCTATTGAACTTTTGCTCAATGGAGTCGAACCTCTGATTCAGGCTTCCCACTAGTGCTTCCAATCGCGAGCTTTTCTGCTCCAGTTCATCCTGAAACCTCCGTTGGCAAGCGGCCTGCACATCTGCCATCGACTCCACCACCTCCTGTAGGCAACCTTCTTGCTTCTTGAGCTGATCTTCCAAAGTGCGATATCTAGTGCTCTCCGCCATTTCCAGTGTCTAAGCAGCCAAGGATCGGCTGCTCTGATACTAGATGTCAGAAACCTCGGTTAGAGCTTGCGAGATTGCAGGGAAAGAGAAGGAGCAAGGGAGGTTGAATTAGGGAAAAAGAATGAAAGAGAGAGAGGATAGAGTAGATAGAAATAAGAGAGAGGAAGTATGAATCTGTATTTCTTTTCATAACCTTGAGTCTGTTACAAGTTTACTATTTATAGCCTGACTAATCAGAAGGAAATTAATGCAACGTGCTAACAGAATGAACTAACCTAACTAACTACCTGTATTATTCCACGACACTATTTTGACTTACTGGCTTATTTCTGAAACGCACGCTTTAACGAATAAAACGACACAATTCATCTAGGTCCTTGACAGCTTCACACACCAAATACGAGCACACGCTACACTAATTTATAAACTAGCCAGTTTCCTTAATAGCTAAACATGACGTCCGAGCTAACTAAGGAAACCGAATACTATTCAGACTTTAACTACCACTAATCATCAATCAAAGACAAAAACTATTACCAAACAGTTTAGGAAACTACTAAATGATAATGTGAAACTTTGATTTAACTCCTAAGTTCTTTTCAAACTTCATCATGCCTGGCATTTTTTTCAACTTATGAACATCGTGAACTTAAATGCCTACCCCAGAATTTTCTTTTGGTGAAGAAAGAAAATAAGACAAAAGATTTTAAAAGTTTAAGAAAAAAAAGAAAGTAAAGAACATAATAGGAAACTTGAATGCTGTAGCCTGGAGATGAAGAAACGATGAAGACGATAAGTGACTGCGTATGGTCTTCCTTACAGAAGTGAGACTAAGAAAGAAGCAAAGAATTAGACATTGGTCCGCAACTTTTTTATTATCCTGCTTTGGCCTCTAAAGTTTTTGAACAACTGTAAAGGATACAGTAAAATTCTTTATTTGTTCAAATAAGTCGCACATCAATTTGAATTTAAAGCTTAAAAGCATTCAATAAGAGTTAGGATTTGAGGATGATAAAATTTAGCATATATAACAATATAAATAGAGAGATAAAAGAAACATGTTTATCCATATTAATAATACACTTATGTATATTTTTGTGTATACATATTAATAATACAGTTATATATATTGATATATTTATGACATCATGATGACATCATCCAATTCTTAGACTGACTCAAACTTGATTGAATCCATTGACCTCTGTTACTGAATTTGGTCAAGTCATTATTTGGCCAGAGTTTCAAAACATAGAGTGTTATTGTGCATAGCTGGAAACAGTACTCTGTCTCTGGCCCCCGGCTAGAATAAGCGTATTTGGAGTATATTTGATAGGAAGAAACATCTCGAGAGAGTCCACCAAATCTAATATGTAAGTCAGGAGCCCAATTCTAATCTAAAAATTTAAACCATTAAGTCTAGGGCCCTTACTTATATATTAACCGCTCTTTCTCTATCTCTCGGACCAATGTGAGACATAATTCTTTACTTATAAATCTAACAAATTTCTCCCTTCATGAGTAACTCCTCACATTAAATCCAAATTTACAAGCCCTTCTTTGAACCCGTTTTAATACTCAACACAAGTCCACCTTATCACCTAAGGTTACTTCTTCTCCCAATTATGGATCCATTCTTCTTCAATATCCAAATTGCATTATGGACCCCTACCAACCTTTGGTTCCTTGGTCTAACACCAATCGGACTCCCTGCCAAACTCATGGCGCACCTAATCCAACACTAGCCAAATTCCTTAGCACTTTGGCACTTTGGTCAGTCTAACTCCTAGAAGAATCCACTTGCCCATAAATAGTCCAGTCTCGCAACTTGAAACTCTGATACTCCATGAGTAGTCCAGTCTCGTAATCTGAAACTCTGATATCAATTTGATAGGAAAAAACACCTCGAGAGAATCTACTAAAGAGCCCAATATGTAAGTCAAAAATCCAATTCTGATCCAAAAACTTAAACCATCGGGTCTCAGACCCTTATTTATATATTAACTGCTTTTTCTCCATCTATCGGTCCAATGTGAGACATAATTCTTTACTCATGAATTTAACAATATTGTTATGTTATTCTTGTAGAATCCAAATATCGCACTTCTGAAAGTTCAGATTGTGCAAGGAATTCGGGTAAAATCCGGCTCAAGAGGTCAAGAAAGGGACAAAGCTTCAATCATCAGAAATTTCGTTATCTATAGGGAACTTCCACTAATTAGTTTTCAACTATAAATAGACGGTTTCATTCCAAGCTTGAGTCATACAAGCCACTCACTCCAAATTGAGCACTTAAAAACATGATGCGCTTTGTTAATTTTGGAAAGAGTATGAAATACAATTTCAACCATTTGAACACAAAAGCATGCTTATACAAGTCCCTTTTAAGCGTCCTTCACTTTCTTCTTTTTGGAGTCAATAAATTCTGGATTGAACTCAGTTATTTTATTAGCTTTTCTGTTATTGGGTATTTGGCTTTGAAGATTTCAAGTCCAAAAGATGCCTCGTTTTCTCCTCAAGATTTTGACATATTTTTCATGTCTGTGTCTGCTGTGACAGTTTCTAGCATGTCAACGGTAGAAATGGAGGTTTTCTCCAATGCCCAACTCATCCTTTTAACCATTTTTATGTTTCTTGGTGGGGAAGTTTTTACTTCTTTGCTTGGACTTCAGTTAATGAAGTTCAAGAGAAGTCATCAAATTCAGAAAACAGAAAATAAAATTGACAGATTTAGCACAGACGCAGATTGTTCGACTTCTATTCCCACAAATGCTTTCGATCAAATCGAGCTCGGTGTGACTTCTCAGGATCAGCAATTAGGAAATGATCAGAAGCCTGATTCCATACCTGAATCTGGAGTAACATCATTTCAGGGTCAGGAGTCTATAAATAGGGCCAGTGACCTTCTGGCTTTCAGCATTTTATGTTACCTCTTAGTGGTTCATCTTCTTGGATCTGTATCAATATCCATCTACAACAGTACCATTCCTAGTGCTAACGAAGTGCTAAGGAAGAAAGGGCTTAATTTGATAACATTTTCGGTATTTACCACAGTTTCTACGTTTACCAATTGTGGATTTGTCCCAACAAATGAGAATATGATGGTTTTCAAGAAAAATTCTGGCCTTCTCCTGATTATGTTTCCACAACTTCTCCTAGGGAACACATTATACCCTGCATGTCTTCGTTCCTTCATCTGGTTCTTGTCAAAAATAACAAAAAGATCAGAGTTCGCTTACTTGCTGAAGAATCCAAGAGCACTGGGATATGATCATTTGTTCTCTGATCTTCACTCTATTTTTCTTGCAATTACTGTTTTTGGATTCATATTGGCGCAGTTCGTACTCTTCTCCCTGCTGGAGTGGCATTCTGGTGCCACGGCTGGTCTTAGTGCCTACGAGAAGTTGGTGGGCTCATTGTTTCAAGTTGTCAATTCCAGGCATGCTGGTGAATCTGTTTTTGATCTGTCCTTAATCACTCCGGCCATCATTGTGTTATTTGTGCTCATGATGTAAGTGCTCTGAACCTCCACTCTTTGTCTTTGTCAATTTTACATACTATGTGTTGCAAAATGTGATATTCTTTATAAATCCGAACCTGTCTTGGTATAGTTTAGCCATATCTGCTCCCTAACTTGTTTACAAAATCATATGATTAATCAAAATTTTGTGCAGTGGAGCCAGAATCCTTGCTTGGATAGAACACCATGTATCGTGAATCGTGATTAATCTCTATGCAAAAAGCATGCACTATTGGCTATTTGTTATTTTGAAACATACTAGTAGATTTTAGCAATTCAATAAATGTTTTCAAGATTGACAGAAATACATGCTAAGATCACACCACGTAATTTTGACACAAATGAAATATATGCATTACAATGAATTATACCTGCATAAAAAGTGTTTTTTTTAAAAAAATATATCATACCTATATATTACATCTATAACAGAATTGTCCGACTTTTTTTTAATAAATAACTATTTATTTAAAACATGTTACACTGTTTTGAGACGAAACACAACTGTTCCTTCCTGTCCTTTCATCATAAAAAGTGAGTCAAATATGTAGACCAATTTTTCTTTTTTGAAATGTGTAATTAATTTCAGCCACGAAAAAAGATTTGGTAGAATTGTCTATCTAATGCTAGTATTAAAGACAATTTTTTATATAAAAAAAAAAGGTTAGGAAAGTGCTAGAGACATGTTGCGTGGAATTTTAAGAAAGACATGCACGTTGTGTCACTGTCGATGGATAACGTGAGTACCCTCATCGTACCACTCTAAAATGTTTTTTCAAGTGACTCGACTACTACTATTGTTTGCCACTCTCTACAAAATTTTGCCAGTTTAAATCATAAATAATCATGGAAATTGTCAAATCATTTGAAAAAAGAAATTGGGATTGCCATCTATATTTTATAGGCAAGTCTTCCTTGTTTGAACTTCTTCATGAGCAAATAATTTGAACTAGCAAGATAGATAATCATAAGAAAGAGAAAAAAAAAAAAAGAAATAATATACCATGAAACTCGTCCGCTCACAGGCTCACTGCAATTATGATCTTTTAATTTAATCACTAGCATTGAAATTTTTGGAATTAGAAGTTCTAAATTCAATTTTCCCTTTATTCCTTTTCACTTCTTAAATTCCACCCTCCCTTGCTGAAAAAAATAATTAATATTCTATGCCAAATGATGTTCTTTCACTCAGATTATAAATCATGTCATGTGGTTGGAGGATATTAATCTTTCATGATTCATGAGACATCATGATCTCAATGAAGTGGATGAGTAGAACATAAACTAACATAGAATCCAAACTATAAGTGGTGGGTCGAACTTTCAAATTTCTTACTCAAAAAGCCTCTAAAATATGAATTTATGAGGCGTGTAACTAGAACAAGAAATCCAACCATGTTTAAATTTGATTAAAGCTAAGATACGAATGCTCTCTCTTTTTTCGTTTTGACAAGTCTAAGATAAGTATAGAATGGAATAGATTGTAGAGATCAAAAGCAATGTGCTGAATAGGTAATGATGTTCTCTAAGTAGGCCATAATGCGAAAAGATGCAACACGTACATATTCTATTATCTCAATCTTTGCAGATTTTGTGCAGTACCAGCCTTACCAAATTTCTAATAACATCTACATTTTTTTTATATAAACAAAATTATTTTTAATTAATTTGCACGTCCATAGAATGTGCATCTCTCACTAGCATCAATAATTTTATTAATGTTAACTTACCGTTTTTGTTTTGTTTTGTTTACACGCCCCTATCATATTTTAGGGCCTAATGACAAACATACATGGCATGCAAAATACATAATAAAGGTGTGCAAGATGCTAAAAACGGTGTACAAATATTGTTACCCTAATTTCAGGTAAAAATTTCAATACGAATTCAGACATAATTAGTTGCATATATATTCGAGTGTGGAAGCTGACCCAGGTTTCACTTGCACACCCAATACCAAGAAATGTCACCTAGTTTTTTATTTAATTTTTTGGTTAAACCACGACTTAGGACATATTTTCGGAGTCATAGATCGTTTACAGAAATTTTTACAAATTATCTATTAATATAATTTTTATATTAATAATAAAATTCAAATACACAATCTTTCTTTCGTGAGAAAGAGATCCTAACTAACTGAACCTAACTTGTGTTACTCAGTTGGCAAATGTCACCTAGCACTCATAAGCTTCTATACTGGCTTCACCAGGATTTTTGTTTCCCATGACTTGTTTTTTTTCCAACCAAAGTGAGACACCGCATCGGCTTCTGTGTCCCCACTTCTTGCAGTGGTCGATGTACGAATTCCAGATGGATTCCAACTGAGTTCATCTACCCCACTCCTGGGGATCTTCTGCCACACCCCCTCCCCACGCCAAACCAAAATAGTCCACTTGTCCTTTCTCCCTTTCTTTTGCGGGAATTGTTGCACAAACCTCCCCTAAAGATGGAGATTCGACATAAAAAGTAAGCATAATGCCCTTTAGAATACTCCTTCCGCCTCACTTTGATAGTTCTGTTTTCCTTTTTTGTTTATCCAAAATTGTAGTTCATTTTCCAATTGAAAAATGTAGTTGTATTTTAATTTTCCTAAAATACCCTTATTCAATGTAAGTTATTGTTACTATAAACCTACCCTATTTAATGAGAGTTGATTCTTTTTTTACCATCAATTCAAGTTCTTATAAAGTTGTACTCTAATTAATGTGAGGGTATTTTAGGAAAATAGCAACCTAAATTGATTGTTTCAACAAAGTTAACTATTTTTTATTAAACTGTGTGAAAAAAGAACTAGAACTATCAAAGTGGGACGGAGGAAGTATGTTTTATTACCCTAGTCCAACAAACATGGACGCCCATGTTCCCTGCAACAACTTTTAACCGCTTATCAATTAAGGGTATCTCCTAAAATAGTCTTGACCATTTTACACTCTCCGTTGCTTATTTAAAAAATTATCCATCGTCATTTTTATATTATTACATTTTTCTAAAATTAATGAACTATGAGATGATTGCAAAGAATGCCACATGCACATTGCAAATGCATATCCTCTGAATTTATGAGTTAAAATTATAGATTGATCTTAGGTTCTTAGCAGCTTTGTTAGTGTTTATGTGTAACTCTTTTATGATGAGGGCTTGACCTTTAAGGCATGATCACAATTTTGTTAAACTTTTTATAAATTAACCAAGCTATGAATTTAGTCCCCTTCATTTAAAGAATTTCTTCTTGAAAATAGTATGTGTAAAACTTTCATAAACTGACGGAAGCAATATTAAATAATCTTATTATGTTTGGAGATTTGGTCTGTCATTTTGAGAATCATTTGTCTTTGTGTAACAGGTATCTACCTCCATATACTTCCTTCTTACCAATTAAGGATGGGAAATGTTTTCCGGCAACTGAAAAGAAAACTAGAGCCAAAAGAAAAAACATTCTAGATTACCTACTATTCTCGCAGCTGACTTATTTAGTGCTGTTTGTAATCCTCATATGCATCACTGAGAGAGAAAAATTGAAGGAAGATCCTCTCAACTTCAACTTATTGAGCATTGTAGTTGAAGTGATTAGGTAAGCTCGAAATTTATTGAAACTTACATTTTCTTACTATGCTACTTATGCTAAGATTATATCATATTTGTGTGTTTTTATACACACAAATTAATTGTGGATTTTTTAACTTGTTGAGTGGAACCAATTTTTAAAAATTTTTCTTTTGGTTTAAAGAAGACTATAAACCTTGCAAGGGGGAGTAGAAAGGGGAAGACTTGAGAGTTAAATCTCGTTCTACAAGCTCATGTCCTTAATTACTAGTTGAATTAGGTATTGGAAACATATTTTACTATTTATTTTCTTGTTATACAACATAGAATAAAGAGTAATTTTATCTAGTAAAAAAAAAATGAATTGGCCGACCCTCACACCACCCTCCTCCCAAAAAAAAAGAAAAAAAAGGCATTTTGCCTATGGCGTTGAATAAGTCTTTGTTTTTAAACTTGGGCGGTCGAATCAGGAATCAGCCAAGTGTTTGGTCCGATTGGTCGAACAGAGAACCAACCAAGTGTCCAATCCGAGTTATTCTGAAAAATTGAATAGATAAAAACTCGGTCAAACCAGGTCAAAAACCTGATTTAACTGGGTTTGACCGAAAAAAATCGGAAGAACACGAAGAACCCGTTTAGTGTCAAAGTTTTTTTTTTTTTTTGAAAAGGTCAAAGCATTTTCAATATTATGTTTTGACCCCTAGGTTGTTAAAAATTATTAACATACCTCAAACATTTCATACTTTATAAATGTTGTCCTAAAGTTTGGTGTTATTTTTCAATTAAGTCCATAATTTTGATTCTAAACTTGTTAATGTTCATTGAATAATATAAATTGCTACTTGATTGTTCTAATTTCTTTGTATTTTCTTGTTAAATATATTTGAAACATCAGATATATATGAATATACTTTTATTAATATTAACATGCTCTTAGGTATTTTACATACAATATTTTAATTTTTAAATATTTTTTTATTTATGATGTCATATGATTCAATTCTGATCCAACCCGATTGAACCATGACCCCTGAGCTCAACCGAGTCAATATCCGGTCCGAGTTTGAAAACATAGGAATAAGTACTAATTGCAAGTTGTCATTTCAGCTTCAGAATTCTATTTCAACTTTTAGTGTGATTATTTCCAGTGGCTATGGGAATGTTGGCTTCTCAATGGGCTATAGTTGTGGAAGACAAGTTAAATCTGGCAACAATTGTAAAGATGCATCCTACGGATTTGCCGGAAAATGGAGCACCCAAGGAAAGTTCATTCTCATCATTGTCATGTTCTTCGGAAGGCTCAAGAAATTTAACACAAAAGGTGGTAAAGCTTGGAGACTTTCATAGCTTCAATAATTTGTAGATCTTTAATGTAAAATAGTGTAAATTGAAGTTATTCAGCTCCTTTTTTATGCAGCATCTGGATAAGCAATATAGTAAAAGATGTATCAACATTATCTAGAAAAACTTCTTTGCATATTATCATCTGAAAATTTTCTAACCCTCTATTCTTCTTTTCATCTATTTTTTTTTTATTTCACGCGTATCAAATCATTTAACTCATTTATTTTTTTTCACATGTATCAAATCATTTAATTTGTCTATTTTTTTATTTCACATGTCTCAAATCATTTCAGGTACTATAGTAAATGATACAAAACATTTATTCAGATAATCTTTAATCCAAATAAACTTCTACAATGAGCTAGTACGAGAAGTATAGTTTTCAGAATTGATCCACCCCTATGACTAAATTTTATCTATTTAATTCAGTCATTTTGATCAAAATACTATGAGTTAGTATATTCTGGCAATGATAAACACAGATTCCCAGCTCTTAAATGAAACATCATCATATAAAAGTTAGCTCGTGGATCGTCAAGGGTTTTGAATTTCACAATTTATGACAACAATAGGATGCTAGTGCGAAAAACATCTTACTATTAAAGCAATGTGAAGATATAAACAAAAATTTTCTATGGTGTATATTTTTTCATCATTATGGATAAATTAATCCAAGTATAAATTATAACTAAAAAGTGAAAAATGCAAACTGTTGGTCATTTTACAAGCCCTTTTTTTTGGTTAAATACAAAAAACTCTCTTATAGTTAGCGATTTTATATGTTACTCCTTCCATTCCATTGAAAGTGTTATACATCTCATTTTATAATGTCCCAAAATGTTTGTTATTTTGAGAAAATCAAAGCAATTTTAGTATTTCTTTTCAATATAGTTCCTCCCTTTATTTATATGCATGTTAAATTCAACGATGAAAAAATGTTCCTCTTGACCACAGCTATGCCCCAGGGACCATTATAAGTGTGTCTTTGCACATTATAAGTGTTCAGATAATCAGATAACATCATATAACAAGGATACAACACATTATAAGTGTGTCTCTGCATCCTATAAGTCAGTGGTACGTCGTATCAGAAAACTATATACCATGACCGTCCCTGCACAATTCATAGCCAGGATTTGGCCACAAAAAATTATATGGTCCAGATCACGTCTTATACTTCAATTTTCACAATGTGTGTAGGACTTACAAAATTTTGTTCTAAAATTACACGTTGTGCAAACAAAATTACGTCGTGTGCAAACAAAATTACGCGGTGTGCAAAATGCACAAAACCGCCAGGAACGGTTGTGGCAGATGATATGATGTTTGTGTCTACCCAAAATCGAATTTCATCACCTACAATTCGATATGCGAGTGGGGAACCTTTGGTGATATGATGCAGATCCATACTTCATCCTACTGATACGAATCTGATGCTTATTGGTTTTGGATTCGTTTGCATTTTTTGGGTTGCATTTGGGGTCAGCATTCAAGAAGATGATGGAATAAAATATGATTTTCATTTTGACCCTACACATATTTTTTTAATAGCTACATCTTCACCTTGTTTCAAAGGGCAATTCAATGATTTCATCATTATTATAAAAAAAAATGATTTCATCATTGTTTCGTTGAAGTAATTTGACTATTAAATTTAACCGGAAAACTACCGGTTTGGCTTTGATGCGAATCATAGGGGTTTAATTGTAGGCTTTCAAAATATGGAGAGTTAACTTGTACAATTGTCTTATCACATGAAATCCTCAGTTGCCTCACTTCGATAGTTACACGGTCCCAACAATTCACGTAATAATTTAAGTAAGACTTTTACGTTGTCAATAATAATTCACTTAAGAATAGGATTTTTTCTATTTTATAATTTCTATCAGTTAAAAAAGTGTGTGCTCGGTTCCTGATGATAAGTTCATGACGGACCTTTCGTCTATCATCTTTTCACTATCCAAATTGTTTCTTATTGTTTACTTTCAAAAAACTAGAGATTAAAACTTGGGCAGCATTTGCTTTCTTATGAAAAACCACCCAGCGCCCGAGAAGGGTGAAGAAACAATGTCTAAATTGATAGAATTTATTCAAAGTTTTGGTTTAAAGAGTCAAGATCATCATGGAACTTAAGAACTAAGTTTCTGGGTATGTAAAACAGTTTTTAATTTCATTTCTTATTTTTGGCTTGAGTTTCTTATTTAATTTATGAGAAAATCAAATAATTTTTTTTCTTCTTTTGGTGGGGACTGATAGAAATTTTACAAATTCTGCAATTTTGAGATTTAGGGATTAATCTCTCACACTTTGCATATTTGCCCTTGGAGTTTGTGGAATTTCTTTCATTCCATGAACGGGCTTTTGAAAAAAAATTTCGGCCTCTAATTTGTTCAGCAATAAAAGAACTAACTATTATCCTTTTTTTTTTTTTTTAGTTCAGTAATAAAGTGTTTTTTTTTTTTGTCAAAAAGTTCAGTAATAAAGTTAACGTAGCAATTTAGTCTATGTGCAGTCATTCATTTTGCACTTGCCAATGGTGTCTGTCACTGCAAATAGCTTTAGCTGCACTCATTCTGAAGGTGCCTTGATAAAATTGCTGTGATTTATCTTTGACCATGCCTCCATCACTCCATGTCCATGTGGTTGTTGTGCCTATGTAAATAGAAAAAAGAAATAATAAATGCATCATAAAAAGCAATTTTTTCAAACGCACTTGCTAAAATCATCTACAAATTTGTTGAATTTCTTAAACACTCCACCAAGATGTTTAGCAGCATTTTGATAAATGTGCTAAACACAAAGGCGGTGGAATTTGTTGGGCCATATGGAATTCAATGCTTTAGCCATTGCTACATCTTTATCTATGAGAATGGTTTTTGGCTTTTTACCACCCATAGCCCTCGCAAAAAGCATCAAACAACTACTCAAAAGTTTAAGTTACATCATATAACAGTGCAGCTCGAAAAACTGCAGTCTGCTTGTGATTGTTTATATCAACAAACATTGCAAAGGGATGACCTTCATTATTTTTCGATAAGTAATGTCAAAGCAAAAAACCATCTCCAAAATCGTCATAATCTGCCTTCGTCCTTCCATCGGTCCAAAAAACGTTGGTAATCAAATCATCCTCATCAACTCATATATCATGAAAGAAGTTAGAATCTTCTAATTTCATTTTTTTGTAGATATTCAAGTATACCTCCTGTATCCCCGGTCTTCATTTCTCTTATTCTCTTTGATCGCAAATAATTTATGCAACCTTCAGGAATAAATCCAAGATTCTGTCTGCCACCTGCTCGTTTTGCCATAAGTTCATGAGATACTTGTGGTGGTATCTCAAGCTTCTTTTTTTTTTTTTTGTTGATATATGGGTATTCTGAAATCACCCAAACTAATCCCCTGCGGCTCTTAGGATGCCCAGCGCATTAATTCGGCAAAAGTCTAACTGTGGGTCAATGCTGTAAAGACAGACGACACGATCAGGTGAGCTGCACAAGGGGCATCCCCAAGCTATTTGTCATAACAATTTTAGCATCATATGTAGGTGTTATCTTTTAGTGTGCTCTGTGCAAGTGCGTCTTACTTGGAATTGAAAGATAATGATTATGTTCTGGCAAAAATTCAACCATTCAATATTTATCTATTTTCCGACAATTGACCTTCAATCTTGCCAAACAACTACACCTTGTTTTAGGACGAGGGTCCTGACATTAGCATTTCTTTTATCTTTTCCTCTTTTGCCTTCAGCGCTATAGCAAAGTATTCTATCTGTCATCTTACCACTATCATCTTTGTGTCCTTTACTTCGTTTAATGCCAAAACCAACCTCTTTTGCGTATGTCAAATGGAACTCATAAGCTATTTCTTCAATTTCGAATTTCATACCAACTTCTGATATTAATGCCTTAGCAATAAATGAGTGTATTTTGTTCAAATCTTTGCCTGCATGCAAATTTGTAGAATCAGAAAAGTCATCTTTTCCATTTTTGTTCAAATTTTCAGAATTTAATTGTTCCTTGCAAGCGTTTTCAAAATCTAAACAATGATACGGTGAAGTTCCACTTTGTATCAAATTGTTATTGCTCATATTTTGCAATATAAGAATCAAAAGTCAAATTTGATTACTACATGATATGGTGGTGGTTCTTGTCCAGCATTCTTGGCCGTTAAGGTAGCAAAGGAGAAACTAACATAAAAAAAAACGTTTTACTAGATCATGCCCAATATCTTTAGGCATGTCAATGGGTCGGGTCTTACCCAAATCCAATCCAGACCCAATATATTTGGGTAGGGTTTGAATTTAATTTCTCAAATCCAGACTCTACCCAAACCCAGACCCTATGAGAGTATCGTGGGTCTGGGTAGGGTCTTTTCTAGAATCCATATCCAAATTCAGACCCATACCACACCTTACCTAGACCCATATATATTTAATTAAATAATATATATTAGAAAATTTATAAAATAATATAATATTTTATGGCTATTAGATCAAATACGGTAAGATTTTATGGCATCAGAATTTGCAATTAATGTTGGTGGTTGGATGATTAATGAGACTCGTGCCAAATTGCTTCTAGATTTGGTTGAAACATTAGTGACTACTGATAACTGGATTGAATCAAAGAAAAAATGAGTAAGTGTTTATAAATCTTCTTATGCTATTATTTATTTGCCATCGGTATTTAATCAAATGATTTTTATCTCATTCACTATTTTAGTGTTAGATTGCAAGACATCTGCCATCATTGAGGTTTAAATAAGCAAAAGAGGTACAAAATTACATTTTTTTAATAAAACTAAATATTTATATATGTTATGGTTGTTTTCTTTTTTAAAAGCTAATCCTAGTTGTCATTGTAATTGGTATAAACTTTTTCAAGAAAAGGAGAAAGGTAAAGACAAATAAATGAAATATTGATGTGGATGCAGTTGAATCTTTAAAAATATATAGAAGTAGTCTATAATAATTCTTTCTTTGAGTTCAAAATATTGCATTCAATTTGTTGAATGTTAATTTTATTATTTGAAAATAAAAATTGGATGATATTTCTATTATTTATGAAC